TGATATCGATATATGGACTAAAGTATTGAAAGTGATATCGATATATGGACTCGTGAATTAGAAATCGATTTAAAAGTATCGAAAGTGATATCGATATATGGACTCGTGAATTAGAAATCGATTTAAAAGTATCGAAAGTGATATCGATATATGGACTCGTGAATTAGAAATCGATTTAAAAGTATCGAAAGTGATATCGATATATTGGGCGCAACGAGTTCTACAGTAGAAGGTTCTCTGCAGGGAAAAGGCGAGAAAATATAAAACGGACTTCCTTAACATTCGGTTTTACGTATCAGATCCAAAACGCGGAAGACAGTCCCCAGAATGCTGTGTGTGGCGAAGTTCTCGTAAACAATAGTTTCAATGCGAAACATGTGCTTAGGAACTTAACAATAAAATACGAATCTCTTTCGAATAAACCATTACAATTTTTTTTTAAAAAAACACTAGAAGTCCGTAAGAAGTCCAACTTCATGAGAACTGTAGTCACTACGTCGACAACATTTTTAGTGTACTCCAAAGAGTACCGGTACATTGTAATTGATTTTTCTCAAATCTTCACATGTTTCATCACCGATCCTCCTACCATCTATCGGTAGTCCTAGAAACTAATGTTCTGTCACATAACTCGAAAAAGGCTAATCGAATTTTCATTAAATGTAGTATAGTCGTGTCATTAGACGTTAGTCAATTTTCTACTATCAGTAATACCAACAAAATCTCGAATCAAATGTTAACAGACGCCGTCTGATGCTCAATTTCCGAGGTATGATTCGGCACGCACTGCACAACATGGCAATATAATCAGTGTTGATAAGCAGTTCAACGTCTAACTAGTTAATATATCGAGATTAAAAATACGTCTAAAAATCACAAAATGCTCCATACCAGTTTGGTCACGACAGAGTATAATATTTGTTGCTGTCATGATTGTTAAAACAATTTTTGCTGGCGACTGTATACTTACAAGAAATATATCGTGCTAAGCGTTTAAATAATTATGTACTCACTGATAACCAACGTCCATAATGAATGTTGCTCTGAATTCCTCCGTGTACACGGAAACTTCAGGATCTTGGAGAACGACAGAGACGTCATGACAGGATGAATATTTTGCTGTGGGCTGTTACTTCTTACGTATTATCCAAACCTGCGGAATACACCAGTAGCTCAAGATTCAAACTACGTCGATTACGTTTAGTAAATAATTATCTAATATCGTTACAACGTATCGCAAGACTTCAGCTCGTTACTACTAACTTTATTTTCGTGAAATTAACTGTCTCGTAGTAGCACTGACGAGAGAGAAGATATCAAGATGGCTGCCTTCTGGGTTGTAGGAAGCTTACCAAAGTTCCGGACGACCTCAGAACGCTGCAACCCAGTAGACAGCCATATTTGAACATGTGGACGACATATTCAGTTTCTTGGGGCCGATACAGAAGAATTTACGAATGAAATACTTAGCCTCATATCATATTTTATTATACACATAATTAAATACTTTGTACTCCTACAGTAACACTCAAAAAGAGATTGAAATTGAAGGTTTGACTTTGGATCCCGGGCATTTTGGTAATTACATTTGTTTAATTTATGATAAATCGTCCTCCGTCAAACCTTCACGTAGCGTACACGAATATCAGATCACATAATTCTATATTCCGGATACTACAATAATATATATACAATATAAATATATAACTGATTACATTTTTTTGCCTTGGTTAAAATTTTAACAAAAACATAACTCAAACTTCAAGCTTTCATAATCTCTGAAGAGTTGTCGACTCAACAGCTTCCAAACAGACTAGGACCGGACCGATTAGAAAACACAATCATATATCAGGTCTCTGCATTCCTTGTGACGTAAGCATGGATTCCTGATATTTGTACTGTCCGTCAAATTTCTCACTCGTTTTTAATACACCAGAGGTCCACGTCTCCTGCCCGCGTTGGTGATTTGATGACTGTCAGTCAACCGGAAGTGGTGATCACGTAGCAAAGGCATCCTTGCCCAAAATGTAATCAACATCGGCTGATGCCTTGTCGGATCTAATCGCCATCCTGTTGGCAACCACCAAAATGTCTGCCTCTGTTGAACATCACTAGGTAACAAAGATCCTGGTTTCTGAAAACCAAAGTGGGTTTGTGGAAATTTCACACGATTTCGCGTTCGCCCAGCAAAAACGCCATTTGACAAAGCTTCGTTGTTATCAACACTGACGGGACTATTTTCTGAAGGGAATCTCACAAATGTTCTTGGTCTGTACGTCGATGCTGGAAGCAACTGTGGTTCTATTTCTCTAGTGACTGGGATTTCTGGTAGCGACGCATGGACATTACCCGCGAAACTGTCTCGTTTAGTTACTGCTGTTATAACAAATGCTTCAGTTGTTATCGGAATTGATTCAGCCGAGTCTCGATTACCAGAAACGTTCCTTCGACTCGTATTTCCTGACCTCCCGTCTTCGGAACTGACGTTGCTAACTTCCTCTAACAATCCCAAAGCCGAATAAGGCGATGTAATTGTATCTTCTAACGTGTGATTAATTACTTTCGATGATGTTTTCGCGTCCGTAGAATTTTCACTCTTATTTACAATTTTATATTTTGTATCATTTGACGTGATTAATTTCAAATCTGTTTCTCCAAAATGAAGATCCTCTGACTCATTTTCTAAATCACTAGAACTTTCGATTTCTTCGAGAGACGTTCCATTCTTGCCAACATTCCAAACAGCTACAATACTCTGTGATTCTTTTGTTTCATTTCTTTTGTTGTTGTCAATCAGTCGATTGTCTTTGAAGACGTCTGCCATTACAACAGCGACTTCAACTGATTCCTCTGTTTCTTGTTCCGGTTCCTGTGGGATGTCTATCGGTATAGGCACTTGAAAAGGTCCCGATGGACTGGAATCAGAAGCCGACATGTCGTCTCCTGAGCCACGTCGAACTGGAGGAGCTGCATACATTGCATTGAGTCTCTGCAGAAGGAAATCCAACTGCGCCTCGTGGTTCAGTTGTACCAACTTGACACATCGACCCATCGAATCTGGTCTGTAACCGTCAGCACAGTCTGGAAGATGGGAGGTCCCAGAAAAGGCGGGAGCTATGAAGACGGACTTAGGGGTTATTCGTCTCTTCTTTTCATTCTCCATGTGTTCTCTGGGTTTCCCTGGATCGACAAGTAACCAAGTCTGCCAACCGATATCTTCAGGTGCACCAACTGTGTCATTCGGCCCGCCTGCACAACCGTGGTGGCAGAATATTGAAACAAGAAATGTGACGGTCAGAACTTTCAGCATAATTGATGACTGCTATCGGTGTCTGCAAGACTGCCACATGATTTCCTTCGCGTCTCTTATCTGTTGCCATACGACATGTGAATTTAACCTGCAACAGAAAACAAACGCCGTATGGCAACACAGACAGCGACAGACAGAGAAAAGTTGTCTTCGCCACAACAGATTAATTATTAACACTCAAATGATCTAATTTTTTAAAAAAAAGATTCAGAATCAAATCGAACACAAAGATGGCTTTTCAGAGGGTCATGCTGCCTCTATTATCAGGGCGATGACAGAGATAATAAGGACATCTACAAGACTACACGGCGCTACAAACCAGAAGACATCCATCTTTGTACACACTGCCGTAAGAACCTAAAATGCTATTAAATTCAAATTACGCAGTAGTAATCAAATAACCAGACCACTAAATGTTGCAAACATCAACTAATGCGTCATCGTTTAAACTTGAACTCCCTATTGAAAAATACGTATTACAAAACACGAGAAGGAAATGTGTAATATGAAGATGGCGGTCGAGTGGTTAGTACTCCGTACTTTCAGCTCCATGCATTACTAGATCAGTGGTATTCAACCTTTTTTGTTCGCGTACCCCCAGATATAATTTCTCTTCAACTTTGTACCCCCAAAGTTATTGGTGTATAATTCAAGTTATACATAGTATATAATCTACATCTAAAATAAATTAAATAAATTACATTACTGATTATTCAGTGTTCTTCATAAAGTAATATATTTTTTTTAAAATTTCACGTACCCCAGGTTGAATACCACTGCAATAGATCATAGCCACTCCTTCCACATCCGTTCCAAAACATAATTCAGAGCCGTTCTGCAATTCGACGCTATATAAGCCTAACCTACGCAGTTGAAACAGAATATTTTTAACATACAAAAATTGTGTATACACGCGTATCCAAAATCCAGAAAAATTTCTTAAAGAACACTTATAATTCGTCAAGCGTCACAGGAGTTAACGAAAGAATTTTAAAGGCGATGGCTGTTTTGCCCTTTATTAAACTATCGATTGATCGATTGTTTTCAGTCGAAACAGTTGCAGTGGTTATTCTCGACTTATGGTCGACACTAGACGTAAAAACTTTTAAAATAGAACTTAATCATACGTTAATCAGGCTATGACCGCTTCATTACACATTCTTTCCGGTTAATTATTGATAATCCGACGCTGTATTATCTGAGCTGCTGAAAGATTCTCTAATTACCCGAATCTCGCGGTGATTAAAGGCAAAGCTTTCGTGTCAATGCCGACAGGATTGTTGAACTTTCCGCGTGATATACGAGGCTCGTCCACAAAGTAATTCAGTCCGTACCGCGAAGACAACACTACACCTCACCATTACGAAAATCAGCTGGTTAACCCTTTGAAGCCGAAGCTCGTCTTCATAATATTTACGAATCCAGACCGTACCGCGAAGAAAACACTTCACTTAACCATTAGAAGTCGAATCAGGCGGTACCACATAAGATTTAACAAAAGAACATCCCGGTCAAAGCCTTAAATTTCACTGTATCCTCGTCATTAAATAGGACACACAAATTATCATTACGTACGTGTTTCGGGGTTACTTACCCATCTTCTGCGGACTTTACAGAGTCACATTACATTTTACAATAAAATAATCACGAGTACGACCGAATGTTAGCTTCTGAAGACGATTTCTGATTCAGAGAAATAATTTTGGAAGTCTGGAGACTGGCACTGAAAATATAAAGTTGAAGTTTGTTTATAAGTTTTGCTTTAATTGGTTAAACGCGATGCCATGTGGAATGAACAGTGCAGCGGATTTGACTCTAAAACCCGTTCCCTGAGCTGTACGCAGCGCATGCACGGTATTACGTTCGAAAATTAACAGAAAAGAAACATAACCAGATACATTATGGTCCAGTGTTTGTTTGGATTCTGGAAAAAAAATAATAAAATATTGGTTGGGCGAGTCACTTTTAGACGGAAAATCCCACAGCTTGGCGCATATAAACGCACGCCGCGTTGCCAACACTGATGTTGAAACCCGCAGTCATTGAGGGCGCTGGAAATAGCACCGAGTGACGCATATCACGTGACGTCATTTCCTGTCAAATCGAGCGGAAAATTTTCGAATGATATTTTTGACGCTTAGCGCAAATCTGGCGTGTTTTGTTTCTAGTTTCCGGGCGTAAAGTTTTCAATTTCTTGAGGGACGTAGCTCGCAATGAGCCGGTGGAAAGTTAGGATTATACTAAAGAAAAATTTATTCACACACTGACTGATTTCCTGACTGTTGTTTTGCTGGAAGGAAACTAAATGTCAACAAGGATAGTGCAACCATTAAAATAAGATATCATATTTGTCATTGAGAATTTGAGGTCAGGTTCGCAATGTTCCCCGTGTTTTTTGTCCTCGATCGTAAATGTTTTATATTTTGATAGAGATGTCAGTCCCTTCATGACCATTTCACTCTTCCTGACTCATCGCATTTTAGTTTTTCCTTCGACGCTTCTCAGACGGTGTAAACAAAACAAACTTGTCACCAGGAGTTGCATAGCTCCTGGCGCTTTAACCCCGGGTACCCACTTCGTTTCCCGGCGGTGCCCGGATTTATAACTTGTGTTGGGCGAGGCCGTGGTCTAGGCAACACGGAGTTTTCCTCCGTGGCATCCCAATAATTACTCCATTCACACACAGAAGAAGGCAATGGCAAACCACTTCTGGATCATCTGCCAAGAAAGTATATGAACAGGTCCCAGTCCGAGAAAAGGATGGAAGGATCCTGTTCATATGGACCTGTCGTCAGACAGAACACTAAATAAATATAATAATAATCATCATATCACCATCGTTTGTTTTTTGGAATTGGCATGTTTTGAAAATCACACAGGCCTAATAAACTATATTTCCGACATCAATAATTTCTCTTGGCTTTGCGATTTGCATTTCTAGTTGCTAGGGTAACAACACGGGTTTCTAGTCTTAATTATACCTCTTTCCTCTTTGGATTTTTAATACTTGTATCAACTGCTCAGTTTAATTTTTTGCACGAGCGAAAATAAAATAAAAATTAAATCGATTTAATTTTACCTCAAAAGACAATTTCTCAGCGCTGAAGAATATGACAGATGTAATTAACACGAAACTTCATTCATTAGCATCAGTTCGTTTTTAAAGTTTTTTTTTTTACATTAAATAAAAGTGTGGAAAATTTAAAATGGCTATTTTATTGCCAGGAAGTACCATGGGAAAACAATGATCTGTGATCACACTTTTGTCTGTGAAAACAAGTTAAATTTAAGAAAGAATGACTTTTAAATACGTCGATAACTGATGGGTGGAAGTTTCACAGACTGTAACGTGCTGTGGTTAGGGAACAAAGCGTCTGGGGAAAGCCAATGGATCAGAACTGACGATGGAACTGCATCTGAAATCAGAATTGGCCAATGAATGTATCGAGGCAAAGAGTTGTCAGTGGAAGACCAAACAAAGTTTATCTATTATTATTATATATATTTAGTGTTCTGTCTGACGACAGGTCCATATGAACAGGATCCTTCCATCCTTTTCTCGGACTGGGAGCTGTTCATATACGTTCTTGGCAGATGATCCAGAAGTGGTTTGCCATTGCCTTCTTCTGTGTGTGAATGGAGTAATTGTTGGGATGCCACGGAGGAAAACTCCGTGTTGCCTAGACCACGGCCTTGCCCAACACAAGTTATAAATTCGGGCACCGCCGGGAATCGAACCCGAGACCCCAGGATTACAAGGCCAGCGTTCTAACCGCTAGACCACCGTGGCGGTTAAAGTTTATCTACCTGACGAAAACAGGAAACCTGGGAAATATTTGTATAAATTCACTGAAAGCTGTGCTAATACAAACATCATTTTGTCAGAACCTGTTCAGCCAACCGTTTTAAAGTTACCTTAGTAGGATTTTTAAAACGCTGACAGTCACGTAAAGAGGGTTACTTCAGGCACTCCATGGGACTGAGTCACAGGTTATTTTTTTTTTTTCAATTTTCCATCAACTACAAACAGCTTAGCCGTAAATCCGTCACCTTGTTAACCCAGCGTTTGACAGGGAGTTAAGGTTGAAAACGGAAATAAACCTTTAAACGGATTAACAGGCCGGTGTTTAAAATATAAAATGGATTTTGTTAAAAGGTACACTGTTTAGGAAATGACAACAGATTACTGAATTTCTTTGAAAGTTATATACAAATTAACAAAAGGTGGTCGAAATCTAAAGTCTTTTTCGCACCTCCACAGACAAATTCTTCCTCCTTTCTGAATTCGCGTGTCAAAATAAGCCCCTAACAACGACCTCATGAAATTTCAAGGGATGCCATAGACACGTCGATAACTGCACTTCGCTTTTGAAATGTCATTTGTTCGAGGCAACGAGGATATTTCCGAAAAACACGCGGACCAGGTAAATATTTCGCAGTCCTGAGGAACTCTAAATTCCTGGAACGGACGTTTCGACTTTAAAAACGTCGGCAAACTTCTACCAGACTACACGGCGCTACAACCCAGAAGACGGGCGCCACTGTGCGAGCAGTTAGTTAGAAACTTCGAGGAAATTTTTCTATTCGCTCATTACAGTTTCCAAGCGATCATCATCGTCTATGAAATGACGAGAGATAAAAAAAGGTTATAAAAAGAGAATCCAGTCTCCCTTCAGTTACGCACGAAGCAACCTTGCAGTTTACATGGGGAAAGTGCAGACAGACGTCTGGCTGGCTGTTCGTTTGCAAGTAGGTCGGAGAAAGGCTTCTAGAAACACGAACCACATGTTTCAAGGAGGAGGACGGTAGACAGATGGAACAGGA